CACCACGCTTTGGTGTGTGCGATCTTGAAATGAGCACGCCTGACCGGCCGTCGGAGCGCTTTAGCAGCAGCAGCAGCGTGGTTTGAGCGCTGCGGTGGATGTGCTCGCGCATATGGCGTACCGGTATATGTCGTCTCACTTCTGATTCGCACTCACCATCGCAGTTGTCACACCCACACACATCACCTGCTCGCACATCATCACACGGCACAATACACATCTTTTGCCCCGCCGTCCCAGCACGCCTGTCAGCAATCCGTACATCACTGCTTGGCTAATGCGCACTTTAATGATAGACGCACAACCCTGAGCTCTGCCTTCTCCTCTTCCTAGCCATTCACGATTGTTCAAAGCACCTGCATTCGCCGCCAAATTAATTGAGGGTTGCAAGAACCCGCACTGCTCGGGCAGATGACGCATTCAGGGCAGATGCGCCAGCGACCAACAGAAGGTCAGGTCAAGACTCATCGTGAAGGAGCTAGCAGCGCAGTGGGCACCAGCGCCAGCATTGCTCAGACTTCTGCCGCTCTCTCTTGGGCTTCTTTGGAGGATCACACTCACGTAGCGTCGCTTTTGGCAGACTTTGTCAGCGATAGGGATCTGTTCAGCTTGCTACAGTGGGACGAGGTCGATAGGCTGGCCAAAGCTTTGACGCGGGATCGACGCCTGGCGAAGGCGTGCGAAAGTTGGAAACTTCGACCTGCGCAGGGCCAACATCTGGTGAGTTTCGTCAGCACCCAAGCATCTTCGGGCACGATACGAATCTGACCCGCAAGCTGGCGCGCTATTCTTTAGGCAAAGCTTGCGCTTTGCGATGTACATTTCGCCCTTCCAGCGGAGCTCAATGATGATGCGGCGGAAGCTCTATTGCCTCTCTTGAGTCGCGTGTCGACCATCACGGATTCTTTTCTAGACGGCGATGATCTCCACTCGCAGGACGAAAAGCCCAGCGTCACCTTTCGTCATGCCGACAAACGAGAGATTCATGCTGTGCCCTCCGAAACCGAGGCTCTCCGGTCGCTGCTTCTCAGCGGCGCGTCAGCCAGCACCTCCCGAAATGCGGCATCTGCACAGCCTGCCAGCAGCTCTCTAGCAAATACCTTTAGGTCCTCTTTTGAGCAAACTTCGCTTTCGAGAGCGAAAGATGGGACCTCAGCTCGACCGAGTCTCTATGTCATCGTGCTGGACAGAGTGCCGCCGGAAGGCGACGCGGCATGCACCGAGCTTGTGCAAGCAATAGGGGACAGCAAGGTGGAGTTGAGTCACGCTGGTGTTGGAGAGGGAGCGATGAGTGTCGAGGTAAGTGTCTCCAGCGTGCTCGGAGACGTTTGCACCGATGGGCTCATCCCTCCGAGATATCGCACGCATCAGATTGTGTCCCTGGGAGGCGGGGAGCCTCTGAGGCAGTGGCTTTCGCGGACGCGTGAAAATGGCGATCTTCACAAGAAGCTCTTGGTCACGCATCTGCCCGCGTCGGCCATGCTCGCAGCAAATTCGGAGAGCAGCTCAACTGGTCTTTCTTCGAATAGCGTGCTGCCTTCTGCAACGCTTCTGACGAGCTTGAAGACCTTTGCCGAAGTCGAGCACAATGCCGAAAACGCCGAGCTGCGCAGCGTGTTTGAGGCCGCGCGTCAGGCAGCGACCGGGACGTTTGATTCGCAGCGCACGGGCCCGCCAACAGGTCCGCGATCCGGCCGCAGAGGTGCAGCTCAAGTGGCAGGTGCGCCGAGTTCCGATGCAGAGGAAGGAGATCTGGGAAGCGCATTGGCGGGCGCAAAGCTGAGCACAAAGAAAAAGGAATACTTGTCTCGAGTTCCTTGCAAGTTCTTTCGATCGCAAGGCTGTTCAGCTGGGGACGCTTGTCCTTTTGCTCACATTACGCCCGGTGAACCGACGAACAAGCCTCAGTGTCAGTGGTTCCTGAAGGGAAACTGTCGCTTTGGACACAAGTGTGCTTTGTTACATACCTTGCCAGGTCAGCCCATTAGCGTGAGTGCCAAGGCTGAGCTGCCCTACTGTACCAAACGAGGAATCAGCTGACCAGTTCTGGACTTTTGCCGAGCAGATGGACCGTAAGAATAAGCGTGCCATACAGCAAGGGGGCAACGCTGCTGCGTTGGCTCAATCTCACGCAAGGCTCCAAGGCGGCATTGCAGGTGCCATTCCCAATCCCGACCCACGCTGGATTCAAGGCGACTTTCCTGGACAACCCATGGCACCGAGTGCGAGTCAAAGCATGGACTTTGGAGCGTTGGCAGCTGCATATGCTGCGCAGCAGCAGCCACCACAGCCGCTCATGCAAGACCCCTCTGGAAGGGGTCGACATCAAGGGCACTTGTCCATGGGTCATCGCGATTTCGATTTCCCATTTGGTGTACCGGACGACCTCCAGGGTGTGGCTGCATCAAGTGCTGCGGCCGTCCAGCATGAGCCAAGTCTGGGCGCATACACACAACAGCCCGCAAGAAGAGACCTGGTCGCGGGCGAGTTGCGCAGCACACCTCCAAGGCCGCTTTCCGTGCCGCGGGCCTCTCACGGAGGCGCGGAGCGGCCGACTTTAATGGAGCGCACGCAAGGTCTGAGCGTAGATGGGATGGGTCATCTGAGTAGCCCGCCATCCAGTCGTGCATTCGGCACGAGTCCCTTCAGCAACGGCGGTGCTCAGAGCGTTTTCTTTTCCGGCAGCCAGGATTCCGAGGGAGGCGCTGGACCGTTTGCAAGAGCGCCTCACAGTGCACGCAGCTTTGCAGCCGAGCCAACATCTGCTTGGCGTAGCAGATTCCAAAATGGTGCAGCTGAAGGAGCTGAAGATGGAGACGACTCTGCGCTGAATGAAGAAGACTTTTTGCCTTCGAGCTTGTCAGACCTGCTCACGCCTGCGGAGCTCGAGCGCAGGAGAAAAAATGTCCTCCTGGCGGCAGCGGCTGGCAAGCTGCCTGGACGGTCTTCTTCAAGCGCATCGCGAAGCATGCCTGCACATCATGGTGCCGATCTTGGTGCCATTTGGCAAATGGGACTGATGAACGGTCGTGCGCAACAGAAACTCGAAGATGAGATCGCAGCGCTGGAGCGCGCTGCGGCGGCCGCCGAGCAGGGCTCCGGCACGCTCTCGCAAAGTCAACTTCGAAGTCAGCTGTCCGTTCTAGCTGCCCAACAACGATCATTGATGCGCCAACAGCCGCCGCATTACAATCAACATTCCCAAACAACACCACGCCCGGCCAACACTCGCGCACAGCGTTCCTCGAGCAACCTGAATCCTGCTGCCGAATTGGCTGCCGAGCGTGAAAAGGCACCTAGCCTCTCGGAGGCCGATGCCAGGGTTGCTGCTTTGCTGAGCACCCTCCAAGCTCAGTTTGCCTCGCAGCAAGCCGGAGCAAACAGCTACAGTCCTGGTCTTCATGCGGCCCTTCACGCACCCGGGCAAAGCCTACCTCAGGGTCTCGCGGCGGGTTTCTCGCGACTACATTTGGAGCAGGCGGGCGCAAAGCTGCAGACTGTGAGCGGCAGTGGCAGTCAAGCAGCGTCTGGCCCTGCCTCGCAGATCTCGGGTCGTCAAGCAGTACCCAAACAATCAGACTTGGGGGCCAACGACGTGCGCGGTCTGCTTGGCCGCAAGCCTTCTGCGCACGGCTCACTTGGACCCTCTGACGGCTACGACTCTGACTTGGGACCCACCGCGCCTGGCTCCTTGTTGGCTCATCGAGCCAATCCACTCAATCTGGCCATGGCCAGGTCGATCGGAGCACAGAGCGCTCTGGGCCAGTCGTACGATGCAGGCTTGCACGGCAGCGGTCCAGGTTCAGCACAGCACAATGGACACTTTTCCTCCTCCAACAACTCTGTCCGACGAGCGACGCCCGGCGCGGCTTCTCCCGCTCCGCAGCAATCTCAGGATCAGTCGGACGGATCGGGAATCGCAATACCTTCTTCTGGCGCCGCGCCTGCCTCTCCTGGAGCTCAAGCGCTGGGCGTCCCAGGCGCTGGCGCCTCTGGCAAACACTCGAGTCTGCATCGCGTAAGAGGAGGGGCGCACTCGACGGCACAAGCCAGCCCTCTGGCTTTGCCATTGCTGGGGGAGGAAGTCGACGAACCGCTCTTTGAGCTGGAATGAGCATCTTCATCAAGCCTGCTTGCTGGCTGTTTGGCCTCACATTGTCGTGTCAGATTTGGTTCTTTTGCAGGTATCATCATCAGTAACGCGTCACCTTTTTTCTTGTTCCAACGTCGCTTGTATTTGATTCCTACTTCCCTTGCGATCCTGCCGAAAAAAAAAAAAA